CCCGCCTGCGCTGCGCTGCGCTGCGCTCCGAGGCGGCTGAGCGCTGGGCCTCCCCGGCCCCGGGCACCCACAGCTCGCGCACCAGGCATGATGGGCAGAGCGCCGAGCCATCCACCCCGTCCACCCGTGCGGCCAGCACGTGGCGTGTGGGGCTTTGCCAGCTGGAACAGGAAGATAGGAGGATGCCACTAACCCATGAGAGAGAAAGAGGCTCTCTTTTTATTTTCCAAAGAAAGAATTTCCTTTCTAAACCTCCTGATAAAGTCAAGGGCTCATCGACATTTCTGGCAGCGGCTATAATGTCTTAGGGGTCCGGAGTCCCTCGGCAGCTTCTCTGAGGCTAGACCCGCTCAGGCGTGGACTTCTGTCCCCCGCACTCCCCTACCCGTGGGAGAGGCGGAGTGTGTGTGTGGCGGCAGTCCAGACAGTTTCACTGATTTTTCTGCAAACAAGCAGGGGATATAGCGCAGTCAGTCCTCCCGAGAGGGGGGCTGGTACTTTCGTCCTAAAGCTCTCGTTTCCTCGGGGAACAGAATTGCTAGACGCATGGGTGCGCTGTCTTTAGTCTTCCCCGCTCCCTCTGAGGGCCGGCAGGGGTTAAATCTCAGGCTCTGGCTCCGTGGGAGAAGGTGAGGCTGGGAGGTCCGAGGTGAGGGCGTGCCATCTGGGTGCCGGAGAGGTGCGGATGGAGGGGATCGTCTCCTCCCTGCTGCAGCCGCTTTGCTAGCGAGGAGGGGTGAGTGGGAAGTTTCTTGGACTTGACCGAAGCGGGGGTAGGGTGGTGGTGGGATGGGGTGGTGGTGAAGGTCTTGTTTGGCCAAAAAAGACCCTCAAGGTTAGATAGATCTTGGATGTAGGGGTGATTGCACAGCTGAGTGCATCGGTAGAGCCTCCCTATTTAGAAATCCACAACCCCACCCTCACCCCCACGAGACAAATGACACCCTTCAGCTTGCAATGAGTTTTTAGAAAGATCACAGGATGTGAGACAGCCTGGTCATGTCGGTGCTTTTTCACTTGCCCTGCCCCTTCCCTATTTGCAGTGAATGGTTTCTGTAATATTCCGAGAGGTGGAAAGAAAGTTCCTCCTCTCCCCCAGTTGACCGGGTTACCATAGACTGGGTTGGTGAACCTTGGTTTGTGGAGAAGGGACTCGGTCCCCTTGGGGATCCTGACACGTGGGAGGAGGCTCTGTTGCAATGACTTGTTCCGGTTCTTTCTGTAAAGTAAACACGTAAAGGTAAACGTAAACGAAAGCAAACATCTTCACCAAGGTAGCAACAATGAAAACCTTGCTGGGTGGGATACATTTCTCACGGCTTGCTTTATCTTGCTCAAAGATAAACCTCTTTTGGGACAACTGATTTCTCATGTCTTATGAAGTCCTGTCATTTCGACGCTGTACAATAAGACGCAACAGTCAAATTTAAGGCAGAACGTATTTCCTCCTTTTAATGTTCACGTGCTCAAGAAGGGGTTAGATCAGCGGTTCTCAACCTGTGGGTCGCGACCGTTCAACGACCCTTTCACAGGGGTCGCCTAAGACCATCGGAAAACACATATATAATTACATATTGTTTTTGTGATTAATCACCATACTTTAATTATGTTCAATTTGTAACAATGAAAATACATCCTGTATATCAGATATTTACATTACGATTCATAACAGTAACAAAATCACAGTTATGAAGTAGCAATGAAAATAATTTTATGGTTGGGAGTCACCACAACATGAGGAACTGTATTAAAGGGTCGCGGCATTAGGCGGGTTGAGAACCACTGCGCTAGATTGTTGCTAGGTGAAAATGATTTGGGAGGATTGTAAATCCATTCAATTAATGACACACTCAAGAGGGTTTTGCTTGGTTTTAAGACCCCTTCAAATTACTCAGCACAGGTCTCCTAATTCCCAGTAGGTATGGGAATTTCTCAGAGCAAAGAGATGATATTGTATCATTAATTCACGTTGCATGATATCTTTATTTTCTAGGAACCTGTTGGAGAAATAAACATTGTTTTTAAGTCAAAGGAAAGAAAAGAAACATTTTATTGAAATTATTTAACTTAAGTCCCCAGGGTGATCTTTGATACAAAGTGTCCTTTTTAAGCACTTACTCCTAGACTTTATTGGGGAAGAAGGGTTATTTGTTTCTCTGAGTTAAAGGTAATTATGAATTAAATTATATCCTTTACCTTAACTAATGGAAAGGAGGAGAAAAGATGACATAAGGGGTGAGACAGAAACAGTTTCTTGGTGAGGGGAGTGCAGTCATTATTTTGTGTCAAGGCTCCACTCTTGGTAAGTGGCCACAGACATTTAGAAGCTTGGAAGGAAGTAGTGCATTTAAAGGGTTGAAAAACACAAACGTATTCTAAGAAGCACATCTTTATAGTAAGCAGTTGGTAAGAGCTTCACCCTCTCACATATTTTTAACAAGTTCATTTGCTTTATGGAACCACAAATTAAAAGGTGCCCCTGCCTTTTACCTGTGTGACCAGAGTTACACCATACCACAACATTGCCATGCAATTAATCCCTTTGCTAGTTCCTCATTTTAAAGTAATATGGACTGACTCATTAATCAGAAGACCATTTTTGCCAAACAGAATGATTAGGTAATTTACCACCCCTCCTTCCTGGCAACATGAGAATTATATTGGATTTCCTCTGTTCTCTAGTATTTGTTTCTAAGTGAATTTATTCAAATTGCAAAAGGTAGCAAATTGTTCCAGACAGTAATTACTCTAAAATATTTGCATTTCATTTGCTTTTGTTGGAGGTTTTACTTGTGCATGAAATAAACAAATTTTTCTTATTTTGATAATAGTTAGTTGTCTATTTAGTTATATCATCAAAGTAAAATTGATATTTTTGGATCCACCCATTAATTTGTTTTAAATGTTTGACTGCTTAACTTTCATTAAGGTTAGTCAAGTATTATATAATGTAAACCTATCTGGTAAGTTTTTTCTAGCAAACTCATTTTTAATTTCTAATATGAAAAGTTTATTGAATTTATTATTCTGTATTCTCAAACGACACTGAATGGTACAAAATAAAATCAAATTTTTACTTTCTGCTCTTGTTTTCATCACCTTTTTCAGAGACAACCATTCTTCTTATTTTTTTGATTGATTGAGGTATACTGATATATTTTATCATAATCCAGAATACTAAACTAATCCCTTGACAATTAGAAACTTACCTGATTCATCTATTAAATTTCTTTCAAGTGTATGTTTCATTATGCATATAATGAAAAGGTCATTATTGGGGAATACAAAATAGTGTTTTTCAAATAAAAGTTAGTTTTTATCTTTAAAGATGATGAGTCATTTGTCTGTGAAAGTAAAACACAAAAGATGCTCATTAGTTTTACTTTTTGTTTCTTTGTAGTTATAGACACTCAGTATGTTTCCGCTGACTGAGGAAAACAGGCATGTGGCCCAGTTGTTGTTCAATACTGGTACATGTCCAAGATGTATCTTCAGATTCTGTGGTGTGGATTTTCATGCACCTTACAAACTTTCTTACGAGGTATTTTCTTTTTTTTTAAGTTAAGAAGTTTTCTCTAGTTTTAAAATAATACGTGTATATTTGAGGGCAAGTATCTATCCATAACTCTACGTTAAATTTAAAAACACTATAATAAAATAATTACTGGTAACACTAATTTTAGAATTTACATTATCATAAAAATGTAAGTTTCTTTTTAAGTGATTAATCTGACATTTAATATAGTGGGATCTTTGTGGAGCAATTCCCTGGTGCATTTAATGTTTGTATAGACCCTTCCTAAAGAGTATCTAGACAGACTATCACAAAATAGTGCTTCTTACCAGATATTAGGAAGTTGTAACAGGAGGGGGTGGTAGTTCTTAACTCAGTGATGGCGAACCTATGACACGCATGTCAGAGGTGACACACGAACTCATTTTTTTTGGTTGATTTTTCTTTGTTAAATGGCATTTAAATATATAAAATAAATATTAAAAATACAAGCCTTTGTTTTACTATGGTTGCAAATATCAAAAAATTTCTATATGTGACACGGCACCAGAGTTAATTTAGGGTTGTTCAAAATGCTGACACGCCGAGCTCAAAAGGTTCGCCATTACTATTAAGTGAAAGCATTGTGGATTCGTTTGCATTTTTTTTCTGTTTTCTATTTTATCATTTTATTCACAAATAGTATTTGCAACCCTCTAGAAAGAAATTCCATTAAAATCATTAATTATTTACTATTAATAACAACAAAAGTAATATACAGAGATCTTTGACATTTAATAGAATCCTTTCACATAAAATATATAACATTTTGTGAAATATATTTGATTCTAATAGTGATATTCTTTTCAGAGGCAGATAGTAACTATATATATGTAAATATATAACTATACAAACAGTATAAACAAACAAACACACACAGAGATTCATATACATGAACACTCAGTTTCTTATAATTTTAAAAAATTTCCCAGGAGTCAGCAATAGCAGTCATTTTTCCTATGTATTAATTGTTTCTATTATTTTAAAATAATAATTATATCTAATATTCATATAGCATTATTATATTTCAACCTTCATGTAACTCTCATACTAACCTATTAGGTAAGTACATACTATGATTGTCTCTATTTTCAGATGAAGAACTGAGGCAAAGAGAGGTTAAGCAACCTGCCCAAAGTTACACAGCTATTAAGTGAGCAAGCTAGGATATGAACTGTCTCTCTGAACCCAAAGCCTAGAATTTGGAGCTGAAAGACATGGATTTGAATCCCAGTTCCACAACTTTCCTTCTTCAGTTTTCTTCTCTGTAATT